ATAGGGATACAGGTGGATCCATTGCAACAATGAGATGTACAAGTCGTTATGTGGAAAAACGAACTTTACAATTTTGGTGCGGGGGGGGGGGCGGGATTTGGTAGGGGTGGAGGGAAAGATGGGAAAGGATGGGAAGGGGAAACAAAGGAGGTGGCTACAATGCTTGATAAGAAATGTACTCATTATCTTACCCATTTAATTGTAACCCCTCTGTACAGTATTTTTACAATAAAAAAATTCTTGGCCATAGTGTATGTAATTAATTTTATTTCATCTCTGATATAGAGCAAAATGGTCATATGTATACTTCCTTCTATCTTGTCCTTTTTGGTAGTATTCTTTTTATATTTTATTTTCCTTACTAAAAGAGTCCCCTAATTCATTATCATCATATCTAAATATTGTTTGTTGTTTCAACATTGAAGCCAATTTCAAATCTAATATATAAGTCATATTTTCATTATTACTTAAATCAAGAATACTTATAATCCTAAAATCAGTCTCTGGTATTTACAAGTCTCATTAATATTTGTTGAAGAAATGTGCACATTAGTCATAAACATTAATAAGTGGTATTACTGTGTGGAGTCATGTAATTCCATACCTGTGTTTTCATTCTCACCTTATCTTGAAATATCAGATGTAGGACTTAAACACATGGTAGAATCCGAATTAAGTGATTTCTTATCAATCCAGCAGATAGTATAACAAAGGAAAAATTGTTTCCTGCATCTGATTTTTGTTTGACTTCTGGGATTACTTCAAATAAAATGTACTCTAATCTTGCTGCTATACGATGATATAAGAGAAATGGGCAGAAGAAGGAAAGAGGGAAAAGAAGTCTAGGGAAGAGAAGAGGCAGGAATGGGAGTGGAAAATGTAAGAGAGAGAAGAGGATATTAAAGTCATGAGATTGGAAAGAAGAAAGAAGAAAGGGAGGAAAAAAGACTAACCAGGATAAAGTCCCACAATTTTAATATACTGATGACACTCAAAAAAAATCATTAAACATTTGGTTGTCAAAACATCTCTGATGAGAGGCACAATTCTCCTAAAAGAAAGATGTGTGGAGCCATATAAGAATCAAAGCAGGTGCAGCATTCACATAAAAACTGTTCTGAGACAAGAACTCTGCAACTATGGAGATATTACCTCACGGTGTTCTAAGAAGGTATCATGGGAAGGGGTGAATGCTGATGTCATAACGGTTACTGCCTTCTCTCAACTATCTTCAGCAACCACTATATACCTTCACTATGGTGTTCTCATCTCAAAAAATATATTTGCTATGTTAGTCTCTACTAATGTTTTCTGATACAAGTATGGTAAAGAAATCATTGCATCTAGTAAATTGATGATAGCTGAAGTAACAGGTGAGACGATTTTATTAAACTATTCTACCAGAAACTACACTGTAGACATTATTCAATGTGATAATCTCTTTACAGAACATAACAGAACAAAAATATTACATCTCCTCTAGCCAAGATGAAAGACATGGAAGAACCTTTGGGAACATTAGAAAATGAAGCAAACAGTCAGGAAGATAAAGGAGAAGAAAAAGAACTGTAAGAATGGCATGAATGGACATGGTAGAGTCTGAGCTTGGACGGATGATGGTGGAGTGCTTTACCTATTTATTCATAAGTATCCCCTGAAATAGTTAAAGATAGCCCAGATCCAACAACTTTTCTAAGACAGTGAAATTATTTTGGTTATAAGGAACCAGGCACTGTAAGAGGTAAAAATTCATCTACAATCATCACCTCGATATCACATTATAAAGGGAAAGCAAAAGACTAGAAGCACCTTAGAATTTTAAACTAATCTGAGGACAAAAGCCATACTCATTGAAATTAGATTTTGGAAATGTTGATAAATATATTGTTTGAAATTACAACTTATTTGTATTCTTAATGAAAATCATTCTATCAACTGAGACATTATCATTGGTTCTCTTATACCTACTTAGGAATGAAGTTTGCAGGCCAGGTGCTAGTAAATTACACCTGTAATCCTAGTTACACAGGAGGGTGAGAGCTGAACACAAAGGTCTGGGACATGTTGAGGAAGGAAAGTCCACAAAACTCTTTAACCACCAAAAACACAGGAATGGAGTTGTGGCCCAAGTCATAGAGCTCCAGAAGCATGAGCAAAAATGATAATGGACAACACTCACATATTAGTTTCAAACACTTGTACTGGTACCATAAAATAAATATTGCTATTGCATATACAGAATGTAATGTTTGTATTCCATTGAACATATGTGGTCTCATATGCACTAATAACACTAAATCATTCATTTTTTCTTGTTTTAATTTTTTTGGGGGGTCCCGTCGTGGGGCCTGAACTCTGGGCCTGGGTGCTGTCCCTCAGCTCTTCAGCTCAAGGCTAGCGCTCTACCACTTGAGCCACAGCGCCTCTTCCGGCTTTTTTCTTTTTGCTTATGTGGTGCTGAGGAATTGAACCCAGGGCCTCAGGCATGCAAGGCAAGCCCTCTACCACTGAGCCACCTTCCCAGCACCCTTGTTTTAATTTTTTTATTGTCAAAGTGATGTATAGAGGGGTTGAAGTTACATAAATAAATACATTTTTTGTAAAACTTGATACCCTTCCCCTCATTTTTCTCTACTTTTCCTTCTGTCCACCCAACACCCCCAATGGGGTATTGTCTTGTGTATATAGCCATTGAATTGGTCCTCCCTTGTCTTTTTTCTCAACATTCCGTTGTTCCTCCTCTCTTCCCTAATTCAAATAAATGTATATACAATACCAGGGTACCAAAATCAAATACAGTGACAACAGGGAATATACCATTCGGAAGAACATACACAAGGAAAAGAAAATCACATAATACATTAAAAGCAACAACAACAAAGAAAAACCTCTTGTGTCCCTGTCTTGGAATTCATTTCATTTAGCATCATTTTCTATGGTCATATGTACATAGCTATTGAATTATACTGCTCATCTGCTAAGATTATCCTAGATGTATATGAATTATTGAAATAAAGGGAAACCATGGGAACTATATTTCTTTGCACCTGGTTTACTTCACTTAATATGATTTTTTCTGAGTCTTTTCATTTCCTTACAATTGTGGCAGTAACATTGTTTCCAATGAAAGCATAAAATTATTCCATTATGTGTGTGTGTTTGTATATATATATATATATATATATATACATACATATATATATTTCTATTTCCTAACAAATGAGGCAGTGTCATTCTTCCTGGTGGAAGAATAGAATTCCATTATATATATATATATGATTTTCTTGATCCATTCATCTACTGGAGATCTGGTTTGGTTCCATATCTCAACTATAGTGCATAGTGCTGCAATAAGCATAGTTGTGCTGGTAGCTTAGTATGGCCTTGTTTGTGATCATTTGGGTAAATGCTCAAAAGTGTGATTGCTTGGTCATGGGGGAGCTCTATGGGGAGTCTTTTGAGAAACCTCCATACTGCTTTCCAGAGTGGTTGAACAAGTTTACATTCCCACCAACAGGGTGGATTCCCTTTTGTCCACATGCTCTCAAGGATCTGTTGCTAATAGATTTCTTGATTATAACTATTCTCAATGGGGTGAGGTGGAAACTCATTGTTGCTTGGATTTGCATTTCTTTTATGACCAGGGAAGTTGAACATTTCTTAATGTATCTATAAGTCTCTAGCCCACTTATTAATGGGTTGGTTTTTTCTTTGAGGATTCGTTTTTGTTGAATTTAATTTGGGGGTTCTAATTATATTTTTGATGTGATGCCCTGCTCTATTGTTTAGGTATTGAAGATCTTCTCCCAATCTGTGGGCTTTCTATTGATCTTCCTAGCTATTTCCTTTGCTATGCAGAAGCTCTGCAGTTTCATGCAATTACATTTTTCCAAACCTTCTTCGATTTGTTGTGTTTGTGGGTCTTTATTAAGCAAATTTCACCCTGTGCCACAGAGTCCTACAGTTTTTTCTATTCCTTCTTCTAATGTTTTTCGGGTGTCTGCTTTTACTTCACAATCTTTGATCCATTTGGAGTTTTTCCATATACATTTTTATAAATATAAGGGTTTTTTTTTACTTTTCAAAGTTTTGTAAGTTTAGATTTTTTAAAAATCTCCTGCAGCTGAGAGAGCTGCCTATGCTGCAGAGGGGTGAGGCCAACTCTGTCTGGTTCACCCAATGAAGAAAGTCTCCCCACCCTGGGCAGAGCCTCCACCGCCTGGGAAAAGCAAGTTTCTTCTGGGTTGACCTGAGTCTCACTGGTCAGGTTTCCTTGCCCTGTTGAAAAATGGCTCCACAATGTCTAGTTATCTACTAGCTGCTCTATTCTGTCAGTGTTCTGTCCAAATTCTGAACTATGCTCATTCATTTGGTTCTCCAGCCTTGGTTTTTTCACTAGAACACTAAAACTGGTTGATATGTGTGTGTGTATTTATATTTGTATTTATATAATGTTGTACACAAGGGTTACAGTTACATAATAGGGTAATGAGCACATTTTGTAGCCAGCATTGTTACCTCCTCCTTTGTTTTTGCCCTACCATTACTTCCCTCCCCACCTCTCCAACTCCCCCCATCCCCACCTCGACTTATGCCAAAAGGAAGGCGTAGCATTCAAAACAATCACTTATTTTCCAAAGATAATCCAATTAGTTGGGTGATGGAAGGTAACACTGGCTACATTACCTATGTCTGTTATTAAAATGTTCAAGATTTCCCCAAATTGTGGTTAGCCATTAGATTTTTCTTTTTGTAACTGTTACTGATAAGCAAATGTGGAAAGAGTTTATAATTCCAGAATTGTGTTGTGAGTATAATCCTTCTTGGAAAATACATCATCCTTCCTTTATTTTCATCTCTTTTTCCTAACTACAAATTACATGGTGTACGTTAAATACAATGACTGCATTGCTCTCCCGTCTAACTTACATGCATTTGCTTTCCCCTTTAGCCCCCATGTCTCCATTTCCTGGTATGCATGTTGTTTAAGTATACACTAGATATCCTGATGAGATATGCTTTTGGTGTTATTCCCCAAGTATAACATCTATTAGTCAGTTTGTGTGCAAATGCATGAACCCTTTATTTGTTAACATATCTCATTTTATTTTAGATTCAATTTCCACATTCAAGAAGAATCATATGCTGTTTTCCTCTCAGTCTGCCTTACCTCACTTGACATAAATTATTTTAGCCCTATCTATTTCCCTGCAATTGTCATATTATTCTTTATAATAGATGAGTCAAATTCCATTGTGTATAGGTATCACATTTTCTTGATCCAGATTTCTGTGGTGTAACATTTTGTCTATTTTCATAATTTGGCTATTTTTAATGCAGATATAGTATTTTTTTAATAAACTACACAAATATCAACACCCACTGTTCTTCAGAAAGATTTTTCTTTTTCTTTTTCCTTCTTTTTTTGGTCATGGAGCTTGAGCTCTGGGCCTAGGAACAATACCTCACCTCTTAAGCCCAAGGCTAACACTCTACTACTTGAACCACAGAGCCACTTTGGCTTTTTCTATTTTTGTGGTGCTGAGGAATCGAACCCAGGGCCTCATGCATGTGAGGCAAGCTCTCTACCACTGAACCACCTTCCCAACTTCTAGCTTTCCTGGAATTAACGTTTATTTGGGAATACTATTATTTTGCTTTAGAAAAAATTAAAACTATCACATTGGTGTCTCACACATATAATCCTAGTTATTCAAGAAGCTGAGGTTTAGAGAACCATGTTTAAAAGTTAATTCATACAGAAAACTTTATGACACTCCATCTCCAAAATAACAGGTCAAAAGCATGAATGGGGCATGATTGAAGTGCAAACAATAGCATGACAATTAAGCACTAGACCAAGCCAATTTTAGATGCAGTACCAAAACAGAGAGTGAGAAACAGATACAGAGACAGAGACAAAAAAAGAATAAAGAGGAGTTCCGGGAAGATGGCGGAGGAGAAGCTGGAATCTGAACAAGCTCTCACATAGAAAGCAGTTTTAGAGTTCCAGTGAACAGTCCTAAGCCAGAGAATCACACCAAGTGTGCCATCACAGGACAGAGACTTAGACAAGAGAGGGGAAGCCAAGGCAAAAAGACACATCTGAGTACTCACCAGCAGCCGCCGCGGCGGCGGCGGCAGGGTCACAGCAGAGAACGCAGCCGGGGCCATAATTGAGCGCTCACACAGAGAGTCTGGGACGAAGGAGCCAGACGCAGCGGGCGAGCTGATTCTACTCAACACCAGCAAGAACCGACAAGGAGCAGACATCTTCATCCTGCAGTGTGCAGACCAGAGATGACCCAGGATCCAAGACTCGGCGTGAGTAGAAGCCCGACATCCTCACTCCTTCTCAGGGAGCAGAGGAGGGAAGGCCACCCATCCCCCCCCAGCACTGGTGATCTCCATCTTGGATACCGACAAAGCTTGGAGGAGCTGCCAGCTCCAACTCAGGCCTTGGAATAAAACGAGTCATTTAGCAGGTCACAAGAACTTAACGGCGAAGTGACCTGCCAGACTCAGCTCCATCCAGGGAAAAGTCACCCAGCTCAGGTGCCAGCCATAG